TTAATCAAAATTATAGTTAGTATTTTTCTTTATTGTGAACATTTGCAATCATTAGAATTTCTTGATAATATCATAAAAGTAGTGCTGGCAAAAAGGAATCTATATATTTTCAGGGTCTAAAGCGGGTCAACGGAGGGTTTTAACTAAACCCTACTTTGAAGCTTTAGCAGGAAAAAGGAAATTTCGGACATATTGTAGCGCCAAAGTAGGTGCTATTATATACATACGATACAATGCATAACATCTACTTTGACTCTCTTATGCCTACCTCAAAATAAAAGATTAAGGTTCAATATAGGTGCTAAATTTCGACTCGGGTTTGCATACAAATTAAGTATAAATGTCATTTTATATATTTGTTTAGTTAAAAGAGAAGAACAACTCTGAAAATTTTTAAATATTTGATTCTTTAATTGTTTAGTTAGTTCAGTAACATCTCATAAACTACAAAACATAAAAATAATGTAAATATACAATGCAAATAAAGTATATTTCCAAAACAATAATTTATCTGTTCAAAAGTTTAGGAATGAGAGATGATTCGGATCCTTTCCATACAACGTGTCCGAAAGGCGAATACATAATGACAGATTGGCTATACTATCGGGGCCAAATAACATGGTCCGAGTGTAGTCGTAACAGTGCTAAAAAACTCTGGAGAACAAAACAGTGTCTTCTCGATCGTACGAGACGAGAAAACACCGAAGATCCATACGCATTGGACCATTCGCGTTATCATGATTTACCGGGAAGAGAATGGACCGTCAAAGCAAAATGTGAATTATTTTTACAAGACAATGATGCAAACGTGGTCACGTTGCATGATATATATCAAGTCTTACAATGCAAAATATTTTACAAAAATAAGTACTTCTTTGCGGGACCAGCGCTAGATGGTATGTTTTCTTTTTATAATTGGGTACTTCAGTTTTTAATTTATTAATTTTGTTTCAGGAACGTATTGCGCATTCGGGAAAGAATGTCGCCGCGGAAAATGTGTACCCGCTCTCGTGTCGCCATACAATTTTCGATATTGCGAAAGAGATAAGTGGAGTGAATGGACGAAATACCCCTGTAAAAGCAGTTGCTTAAATAAATCCAAAAGCGTGCGAGTCAAACGACGTGTCTGTAGACATCGGATTCACAAAACGGCAAATTGCAAAGGGTCATATTACGACGTGGTTCTGTGCGATGATTCCACACTTTGCACTAAAAGACGCCAAAAGATTGCTGAGTATACCACCATGAAATGCAGCGAGTTCAGTTTAGAAATAGAAAAATACAAAAGAAGTTTGCATTACCATGGGAAAAAATTCAAGTACGGATCACTAAATAAGCCAGTAGTGCAGGCGTCCCATATCGTCAGGGAACCGTGGAGAGCCTGTACAATACACTGCCTCCGAGAAGAAAAAATATCTGATAAACATAGTCTGTTGCATTTCTATGCACCACGCCAAGAAATGCTCGACTTAGGAATCGACCCATACTTTCCAGATGGAACGTGGTGTCACGAGAAGAATGGCCTGAATTATTACTGTCGCCAGCATTATTGTCTGCCGGAAAACTATTCAATCGAAGAATAATTGTCAAGAGTTTTTCGACGTGTGGACAAGGATAGAAAAAAAATAAAATTGCAAAACACGTATAACTCAATAAAAATCATTGACAACTTGTTCAGTGTTAATTCTACGATCCGTTGAATTATCGATGTTACTTTTAATTTTACGTAGTAAATCTATTTCTTATTAGCAAAAAATAAATTTATGAAAAAATACATTAAACTAGCGGCATCAAAAATGAATTCCATCAAGTACTGTTATTAGTAATTGCAGAAGGAAAAAAATTAATAGTTACAAATAAATATAATTATAAAAAGTAATATAATGTTAAATCAGAGCTCGGAATTAGTTAAGCATCGTGATTGACGCCTGTTTTTCTCTCTTTATCACGCGCGTTGTTATAGCTACAGCCAACGCTGCCAACGAGTATTAGAAGTAGCGCTATCGAAATGATAAGTAGAAAAAGATTCTTTTTCATCAGTATATATATATATATATATATATATATATATATATATATATATATATATATATATATATATATATATATATATATATATATATATAAGTATATCGATTCCTTTAAGATCAAAACTGGTAAAATTTATAACATACTATTGTAATGTATTACTTATATGAAATATTAGTTTTTCTATTTTTATAGGTTTCTATAAAAATATTTTTATATTGTTGAAGTACATATCACACTCGTTAGACACTTCTTCCATTATTTATGGCCAATAATAAATTCCTTGTTGCAATTACAAGTGTGTTACATGGCCAGATATCTGCAATACTTTAAAATAATGTTAAAAATAATTAATTTCTGATATATTTTTTAACTTATTCCATTTTTTATTAGCAATAAAAAAATTATAACAATATGCATGTGATGAAAAATACTGATTTATAATATTTCTCACGATGTGCATCATTTTACGTAAATGTTGTCTTTTTTTCGTTCAATTTGCATTTACTCATCTCTAAGTTGTAATGTAAATTTTATGACATTACGAATATGCAACGACAAAAATTTTAAACCAATTTTAATCATTAATTTTTTAAAATCTAATTATTGACTATTAAACTCTCATGTTTCCGAATAATCTTACATATCAGATATATTAGCGATAAATTGCTTTCTAAACCTACAACGTTTTTATAAGTACCACTTCTGAAATTTAGGTTTTAAAAATATATATATTTATACATATACTTACATGTAGCAAAGAGGGAAAACACAAGAGGTATCACACGAAACGAAGGTTATTCCTATACACGTTAGTAAGTGTTTTCATTTCGATCTTATAAGACTGACGAACGTGAGAGTACTCTAACTGTGTGCATATTAATTATTTAATATATAGATTAAAACTAAAAAACTAATATGTTTTTGATATTGAAATTGTTATTAATAATCTTATTAAATGAATCGTACGCGTATTTCACGCAAGATACCGAAATAATATTGCTGCCGCCATCGTATCCAGCAGGTGCAAAAGAGGTACGTACGCTTTACAGTAGTATTTTATTTGTTGCTCGACAATCAAAGAATTATTCTAGAATTATCAAATCTTTTTTTAATGGTCATGTAATTTACAGATACCATTAACTCTGAAAGCTTTCGGACAATTGATTCAACTCAACCTACGTAGAAACGATCTGATTGTATCGCCTACGTTTCCAATATGGAAATATAACGCAAAAATTACAAAAAAATGGTTGCAATTAAATGTTTCAAACCCTTGCTATTATTATCATGAAGATGATATCAGCTCCGCAACCATAAACTTTTGTGGCGAACATGGATTTGTCAGTAGTATTATATAACAAATAAAATGTTTATTAAAATTAAAGATGACAAGGCTGAACAAATAATAAAATTTAAAACCTTAGCAAAAGAAGCCAGATCACTAGATTTCAGTGTGAACAAACTTGTGTTATAAAAACTATTATTATACAAACAGTTCAACCTATCATGAGTAGATTATCAAATAAATAAATCACATATAAAAACGCACATTGATCATTTACAATAACACGCGTTTGAAACAAAATACAATTTATACGCAAGATTTATTACAGGATTAATATAAAATGTTAACGTATTAATAATGATACAGTCCATAATAATGTTTGTCGATTAGTCAAATAAGAAATGGAATAAAACGAAGAAATAAGTTACTGATTTAACAGTCAAATTGTTAACAATATTATGGATTATATTACTCTTAATACATTAATATTTTTCATAAATTCTGCAACAAATCTTACATATCAATTATAATATATTCGGTTTGAAGCCATATTTTATTGTAAATAATCAACTTGCGTTTTCATATATAATTATTTATTTGGCGCTGAGGACAGCCTGATGACAAGTTAAAACGTTTGTATATTAATGATTTTCATAATACAATACAAGTTCATTCGCATTAAAATCTAACGGTTTGGCTTCTTTTGCTTTTATTGTTTTACTATGATTATTGATTTTTAAGTTTTTATTTTTAATCAGTATTACTTATTGTTTTATATACACAAGCATCCCATAGATCATGCATATCCGAGTGACGTCCTGAAAACATCTAGAAAATATTTTTGAAAAATACGATATCTTAGGGATATTTTCTGTATGTCACTTGGATATGCATGCTGTGTGGGATGACACGTAAAAAACAAACATATCTTTTGTAAATGCAGGAGGGTCTCGTTTTTATGGAAAACGACACATTAAAGATTCGACCTTTGCGAAACAAATTTACGCCATTGTGTTTAATCGACGATTTTAGAAAACATATTAATCTATCATTTGGCAAACCTCATCTTATTAAAAGATCACTGCAACATTTTGTTGATTTAAATCTTTACCATTGGGACAAGTTTAAAATGAAGCGACGTCACGTACGCAATGCGCGACAAAATTTAACCGTGGAACTTGCCGTTTTCTATGACAAAGCAGCATATTTTACGTCCTTGTTTCTTGATGAGCACAATGCCGATAACTTACACGATATCATATTAGACTATGTGAATAGTATCCAGGATGCTTTCAATCGTCCGAGTTTGGATGTTTTTATCAATTTTACGTTAATAAGTTTGGATTATATGAAAGAAGAGCAATCAAATTTGCAAATTTCTGACGACGACGCAGTAGAACTGCTCAGTTCTTTCTGCAAATACGCGAGTTCTCTTAATCCTTCGAACGATAATGATCCGCGTCACTGGGACATTGGCCTTTACCTTACCGGACTAAAACTTTATGAAAATATTATTGTAATGCAACCGCATTACAGAACAGAGAAGAATTATAATATTAAGGGAATATCTTACCACGATGGCGCATGCAATCCGCTTTACTCTTGCGCAGTAGTAGAATTCGGTGATTCATCTGAAATCACATCACCTTTTGAAGTTATTTATAAGATCGGAAATCTGTAAGTTTTTCGTATATTACTTTTACGTATAAACAGAAAATAAATTTTATTTTATAATAGAATTTATTTAATTGTACAATTGCACAATGAAATCAACAAGTAAACAGTCATTATTAAAAAATTTATTCTTTAATTGTTTACCATTTTAACTATTCATAAATTATAAGATAGATAAAAGTATTTCAATCAAATGATGCACAGTGAAACATATATTTGAAATTAATAATTTATCTGTTCAACAGTTTAGGATTAACACAAGAGCGAAGTTCTACCGATTCGCAAAAATACGTAACATGGTACGAGGATAGTCGTAACAAAATTGAAAAACTCTGGGAAACAAAAACGTGTCTTAGAGATCAAGCAAAAACGATGATCATTGAAACGGGAAACATCAATAATGATAATACGCGAAAAAATTTAAATAATAATATGACTATAAAACTTGCCGTTTCCTTGACGAAACTGCATATAATATATATTTCATACCTCTTCTGGATAATAATGAGAAAAGGTTACGCAATATGATATCAGAGTATGTGAATCGTATCCAGGCTGCTTTCAATCATCCGAGTTTGGATGTTTTTATTAATATTACGTTAATAAATTTGAAAGTTCTGAAAAAATCGTTGTTAAATTTGTCACTTTTTGACGACGACGTTGACGAATTGCTCGATTTGTTCTGCACATACGCGAATTCTCTTAATCCTTCGAACGATAATGATCCGCGTCACTGGGACATTGGCCTTTACCTAACCGGAGTAAATCTTTATGAAAATATTACTGTATTTAAACCGCATTACAGAACAGAGAAGAATTATAATATTAAAGGAATATCCTACCAAGATGGTGCATGTAATCCGCTTCTCTCTTGTGCAGTAGTAGAACTCCGTGATTCATCTGAAATCACATCATCTCTTGAAGCTACTTATAAGATCGGAAATCTGTAAGTTTTCGTATTTTAATTTTACGTATAAATAGAGAAAAACTTATATTCCATAATGGAATTTATTTAATTGTACAATTGCATAATTAAATCAACAAGTAAACAGTCACTATTAAAAAAATTTATTCTTTAATTGTTTACCATTTTAACTATTCATAAATTATAAGATAAATAAAAGTATTTCAATCAAACGATGCACAGTGAAACATATATTTGAAATTAATAATTTATCTGTTCAATAGTTTAGGATTAACACAAGAGCGAAGTTCTACCGATTCGCAAAAATACGTAACATGGTACGAGGATAGTCGTAACAAAATTGAAAAACTCTGGGAAACAAAAACGTGTTTTAGAGATCAAGCAAAGACGATGATCTCTATAAAAGAAAACATCGATGCTGATAATACGCGAAAAAATTTAAATAATACAATAACGATAAAACTTGCCGTTTTCCTCGATGAAGCAGTATATAATACACCCTTCATACCTCTTCAAAGTAATAATGAGGAAAGGATACGCAATATGACAACAGAGTATGTGAATCGTATCCAAGCTGCCTTTAATCATTCGAATTTGGATGCCTTTGTGAATATTTCTTTAATACCTCCTATTATTGTGAAAAAACACTTGTCAAATTTGTCAATTTTTGACGGCGACGCTGAAGAACTGCTCAATTCATTTTGCGTATACGCAAATTCTCTTAATCCTTCGGACGATAACGATTCGCGTCACTGGGACATTGGCCTTTACTTAACCGGAGTAAATCTGTATGAAAATATTAACGTAAATCAACCGCATTACAAAACAGAGAAAAATTATAATATTACAGGAATATCCTACCAAGATGGTGCAATCGATCCGTTTCACTCTTGCGCAGTAGTAGAATTTCGTGATTCATCTGAAATCACGTCATCTCTTGAAGCTATTTATAAGATCGGAAATCTGTAAGTTTTCGTATATTAGTTTTAGGTATAAATTATGAATAAACTATATTTTGCAATAAAATTTATTTAATTGTACAATTGTACAATAAAATCAATAAGTAAACAGTCATTATTAAAAAACTTTATTCTTTAATTGTTTATTACATTAATTGTTAATAAATTATAAGATACATAAAAATATTTCAATTCAGCAATGCAAAGTCAAACATATATTTAAGATTAATAACTTATCTGTTTAACAGTATAGGATTAAGACAAGAACGAAATTCTAGTGATCCGCAAAAATACGTAACATGGTCCGAGGATAGTCGTAACAAAATAAAGAACATCTGGAAAGAAAAGAAGCGTCTTAAAGATCAAGCAAAAACAATGATCTCTAAAAAAAAAAACATCAATGCTGATGATACGCGAAAAGAGTTAACCATAGAACTTGCCGTTTTCTTCGACGAAGCAGCACATCATATGTACATGCCTATTCTGCACAATAGTAAAAAAATGTTACGCAATATGATATTAGCATACGTAAACCAAATTCAGGCTATGCTCCATCATCCAAGTTTCGGTACTTCAGTTGATATTTCGTTGGTACGATTGGAAATTATGGAAAAACAACCAACAATTTTGTCAGCCACAATTCGCAAGGACAGTAAAAAACTGCTTGATTCGTTTTGCAAATACGCCACAACACAAAATCCTCGAAAAGACAATGATTCTCGTCACTGGGACATAAGTCTTTACCTAACCGGAATAAATATATATACAAAGTATAACCAACAAAGGTACTATTCCCCCATGGCAAAATCTTTCAGGAATGGCGCATGTGTTCCATTCAACGCGTGCGCCATAGTAGAATTCGGTTCTAATAGAAATGAACTTTCGGCTTTTGCAACGTCTCGTGCTGCTACTCATGAAATCGGCAATCTGTAAGTTTATGTATACTATTTTTACATACAAATTATGTATAAATGTCATTATGTATAAAAATTTTCTTATTTGTTTAATTGAAAGACAAAATATATTGAGAAGCTTTTAAGATATTTGATTCTTTAATTGCTTTATTTGCATAGTATGTTAACTTCTTATACACTAGAAAACATAAAAATATTATAACTATACAATTCAAAATAGAGTATATTTCCAAAATAAACAATTTATTTGTCCAAAAGATTAGGAATGGATCACGATAATGGCTCTATCGATTTGACGTGTTCGAGAGGAAAATACATAATGTCAGATTCGCTATACTACCGGGGCCAGGTAACATGGTCTGAGTGTAGTCGTAACGTTACTAAAAAACTCCGGAAAACAAAACAATGTCTTCTCGATCGTACGAGACGAGAAAACACCGAAGATCCATATGCATTGGACCATTCGCGTTATCACGATTTACCGGGAAGAGAATGGACCGCCAAAGCACAATGTGAATTATTCTTACAAGACAAAGATGCAAACGTAGTCACGTTGCATGATATATGTCAAGTCTTACAATGCGAAACACCTCACAAAAATAAATACTTCTTCGCGGGACCAGCGCTGGATGGTATGTTTTTTTTTTGCAATAAGTTCTTTTTAATTTAAAATTTTTATTTGAATCTTTTCAGGAACTCGCTGCGCACTCGGAAAAGAATGCCGCGGAGGAGAATGTGTGCTCGTTCTCGAACCGCTATACAATTTTGGATTTTTAGGGTTTTGTGAAAGGGATGAATGGAGTAAATGGGAGGAAGACGCATGCAAAAGCAGGTGCTTAAATAAATCCAAAGGCATGCTTGTGAAACGACGTTTTTGCAGACATCGTACTCACAGAACAGCAAATTGCAAAGGATCATATTACAACGTGGTTCTGTGCAATGATTCCAGACTTTGCACTGAAAGACGCGAAAAGGTTGCTCAGTATGCTACCATGAAATGCACCAAGCACAGTTTAGAAATAAGAAAATACAAAAAAAATCGGCATTACCAAGTAGGAAGATTTGTGTACGAACCAAGAAAAGAGTCCGGTTTGCAGGAATCTCATGATTTTGATATTCCGTGGAAAGCTTGTACTATATACTGTCAACGAAAAGACAATAAGTCTGTTTACTATTCGCCTCGCCTGGAAATGCTCGATTTAGGTATCGATCCATACTTTCCAGATGGAACGTGGTGTCACGAGAAGAATGGCCAGAATTATTACTGTCACGAACATTATTGTCTCCCGGAAAACTACTCAATCGAAGAATAACTGTCAAGAGTTTTTCGACATGTGTGGACAAGGATTGAAGAAAAAATAAAATTGCAAAACACGCATAACTCAATGAAAATCATTGACAATTTGTTTAGCGTCAATCGTAGGGTCCGTTGAATTATCGATGCTACTTTTTATTTTACGTTGTAAATCTATTTTTTGTTAGCAAAAGACAAATTGATGAAAAATACATAAAACCTGCGTCATCAAAAATAAATTCCATCAATTGCTGTTAGAAATTGTAAAAAGAAAAAAAATTAATAGTTATAAATGAACATAATTATAAAAAGGATAACGTTAAATGTATAATGTTAAATCAAAGCTTGGAATTAGTTAAGCATCGTGATTGATGCCTGTTTTCCTCTTTTTATCACGCGCGTCTTTATAGCTATAGCCAATGCTGCCAACGAGTATTAGAAGTAGCGCTATCAAATTGATAAGTAGAAAAAGATATTTCTTCACTCGTAAGAATATCGATTACTTATAGATCAAAATTTGTAAAATTTATGACATACTATTGTATTACTTATATGAAATATTGGTTTTTCTATTTTTATAGGTTTCTATAAAAATATTTCTATATTGTATTTAAGTAAATATCACATCGTTGGACACTTCTCACATCATGGCCAATAATAAATTCTTTATTGCAGTTACAAGTGTGCTACATGGCCAGATATTTGCATTACTTTGGAATAATGTTAAAAATAATTAATTTTTGATGTATTTTTTAACTTATTCTATTTTTTATTAGCAATAAAAAATTTTGGACAATATGCATGTGAAAAAGAATATTGATTTATAATATCTGTCACAATGTGCATCATTTTACGTAATTGTTGTCTTTTTTTCGTTCAATTTCCATTTATTCACCTTTAAGTTGTAATGTAATTTTTATGACATTACGGATATGCAACGACAAAAATTTTAAACCAACTTTAACTTTTAGAAATCAAGTTATTGATTATTAAACTCTCATATATCTGAATAATGTTACATATCAAACATATTGCGATAAATTCTAAGCCTACAACGTTTTCATAAATACCACTTCTAAAATTTAGGTTTTAAAGACATATATATTTATACATATACCTTACATGTAGCAAAGAGGGAATACACAAGACGTATCACACGACACAATGGTTATTCCTATACACGTTAGTAAGTGTTTCCATTTCGATCTTATAAGACTGACGAACGTGAGAGTACTCTAACTGTGTGTATATTAATTATTTAATATATAGTTTACAACTGAAAAACCAATATGTTTTTGATATTGAAATTGCTGTTAATAATCTTATTAAATGAATCGTACGCGTGTTTCACGCAAGATACCGAAATAATATTGCTGCCGGCATCGAACTCGACAAACGTAAAGGAGGTACGTACGCTTTACAGTAGTATTCTATTTGTTGCTCGACGATCAAAGCATTATTCAAGAATTATCAAATCTTTTCTTAATGGTCATGCAATTTACAGATACCATTAACTCTGAAAGCTTTCGGACAATTGATTCAACTCAACCTACGTAGAAACGATCTGTTTGTATCGCCTACGTTTCCAGTATGGAAATATAACGCAAAAATCACAAAAAAATTGTTGCAATTAAATGTTTCAAACTTTTGCTATTATTATCATGAAGATGATGTCAGCTCCGCAACCATAAACTTTTGTGGAACAAACATGGAAATGTCAGTAGTATTATATAACAAATAAAATATTTATATATTAAAATTAAAGGTGACAAGGCTGAACAAACAATAAAATTTTAAAACGGAGTAAATGAAGCCAGACCACAAGATTTCAGTGTGAACAAATTTGTGTTATAAAAACTGTTATTATACAAACGTTTCAATCTAACATGAGGCGATCCTCAGTATCAAATAAATAAATTACATATAAAAAAACATATTGATCATTTACAATAAGATGTGTTTGAAACAAAATATAATTTATGCGCAAGATTTGTTGAAGCATTAATGAAAAATATTAACGTATTAAAAATGATACAGTCCATAATAATGTTTGTCAATTAGTCAAATAAGGAATGGAATAAAACGAAAGATAAGTTACTGGTATAATAATCGAATTGTTAACAATATTATGGACATTATTATGGACTATATTACTCTTAATACATTAATATTTTTTATTAAGCCTGCAAAAAATTTTACGTATTAATTATACTCGATTCGAAGCCATATCCAATTGTAAATAATCAATCCGCGTTTTCATATATAACTTCTTTATTTGATGCTGAGAACAACCTGACGACTGGTTGAAACGTTTGTATTTTAATGATTTCTATAATGCAATACAAGTTTATTCGCACTAAAATCTGGCGATCTGACTTCACTTACTTCTATCGTTTTACTATGTTTATTGATTTCTAAGTTTTTATTTCTAATCAATATTACTTTTTGTTTTATATACGTAAGCATTCCACACTGCATGCATATCAGGGTGACGTCCAGAAGACATCTTAAAAATATCTTTGAAAGATACGATATTTTCGGGATGTCTTTTGTATGTCACCCGGATATGCATGCTGTGTGAGATGACACGTAATAAAACAAATACATCTTTTTTAAATGCAGGAGGGTCTCATTTTTATGGAAAACGACACATTAAAGATTCGACCTTTGCGAAACAAATTTACGCCTTTGTATTTAATCGACAATTTAAGAGAACATACTAATCTTTTATTTGGCAAATCTCATATTATTAAAAGATCACTGCAATATTGTGTTGATTTAATTTCTTATCATTAGAACAAGTTTTTACTGAAACGACGTCATGTACGCAATACGCGACGAAATTTAACCGTGAAATTTGCCGTTTTCTATGACGAAGCAACATATTATACGTCGTATGTTTCTTGATGAGCACAATGACTATAAGTTACACAATATCATATAAGACTTATGTGAATCGTATCCAAAATGCCTTCAGTCGTTCGAGTTTGGATGCTTTTATCAATATTACGTTAATAAGTTTGAAATATCTGAAGGAACAGCAATCAAATTTGTTAATTTCTGACGGCGACGCTGAAGAACTGCTCAATTCATTCTGCATATATGCAAATTCTCTAAATCCTTCGGATGATAATGATCCGCGTCACCGGGACATTGGCCTTTACCTAACCGGAGTAAATCTTTATGAAAAAATTAATGTATTTAAACCGCATTACAGAACAGAGAAGAATTATGATATTAAAGGAATAACCTACCAAGATAGGGCATGCATTCCACTTTTATCTTGCGCAATCGTAGAATTTCGTGATCCATCTGAAATCACATCATCTCTTGAAGCTATTTATAAGATCGGAAATCTATAAGTTTTCGTATATTAGTTTTACGTATAAATAGAGAGTAAATTATATTTTATAATAGAATTTAATTTATTTAATTGTACAATTGCACAATAAAATAAATAAGTAAACAGTCATTATTAAAAAAATTTATTGTTTAATTGTTTATCATGTTAACTATTAATAAATTATAAGATAGATAAGAATATTTCAATCATATGATGCAAAGTGAAACATATATTTAAGATTAATAATTTACTTGTTCAACAGTTTAGGATTGACACAAGAGCGAAGTTCTAGCGATTCGCAAAAGTACGTAACATGGTCCGAGGATAGTCGTAACAAAACGAAAAGCATCTGGAAAAGAAAACCGTGTCTTAGAAATCAAGCAAAAACGATGATTACTAAAACAAAAGACATCGATTATGATAATACGGGACAAAATTTAACCATAGAACTTGCCGTTTTTTTCGACGATACAGCATGCTTTAATTTCATGCCTGTTTTGTATAATAGTAAGAAAAGGTTACACAATATGATACTAGCATACGTGAACCAAGCTTGGGCCATGTTCCATCATCCAAGTTTTGATATTTCACTTGATATATCGTTAGTACGATACGATTGAAAATTATGAATTAACCCGTCAAATTTGTCAGTGTCTGATAAAGCTCGTAGACTACAGAGTGTATGTAAACAACCCCACCAAACTTCCCCGTGCTGTGAGTCAACGAAATTCCAACGTGCTCTATGTCCTCTCTCCCTCACTGCCACGCTTTCTCTCTCGCACGCGTTATCGGCACATTCTTTTCCCCTACTCCTAAATTACCCATCGACACGACCTTATACAAATGAATCCTTGCTCCTAGACTGTTACTATTCGCACGGCGACACTTGAGTAAGGCAGACCGTTCGCGTATCGGCGCGTTATCTTTTCCAACTACCCCCAATCCTTATTACTTCTCACAGTTTTTTCATCTTCCTCCCCCTTTTCTATCGTTACCTGTTGCGTACACGGCAACGTGTCGAACGCGTATTCCGTGCGATGAGCGATATTCGAGTTTAACTTTTGTCCTAATATGACAAAATACGCGTCGGGAGTGTCGGCTAAAATATCGTATGATTATTATAATATCGTTCCGCCGTAATTTCACAGTAATATAAAACGCGGAGTGCCGTTTAAAGTGCCGTGCGATTTTTGTATCAACGTCACGATCGCGTGTGAATACTTTAGAGCAGCGCTCGGAATTAGTTGCACATTTCGGGCCAATTTAAGAGACGACGCCTCCTGTTCCCCCACTACCGCCCGGCCGCTGGCGGTCGAGCCGCCGATAGCTCTGGCGCAAGAGCGTTTTATATAAGAAATAGGCTCGGTTGTTGAGGCACCTCTCAAAAAAATGTAATATTTTCTTTGCTACATAAATAATGTTTATTTTCATTAATAAT